CATTTACACACTGTTTAATGCAGGACATGAACGCATTTAACCTGCAGTTACAAATGCATAAATAATGTTTTGGTATATTAAACATAAAACATTGAATGCTGACATTTGAAATAATTAAAAAAAATGAAGATAATTTAAATGTGAAATTAAAACCGCCAGTAGGTGGCAGCAAGTCACAGTTAATAAGTTATTGTGACTGAACCGAATCATTTAAATGGTTGATTAATTCGGGAATGAAACACTGTCATGTTGCTCAGAGACGCAAAACAGCGCTGTGGCTTTGTCTGGAATTATTTTTGTTGGCGAATTTTTTTTGTGCAAAAACAATATGGTGTCTAAAACGCAAGTCTCTTAATAAAACATCTAGTTTATTGAACTGTTGTAAAAAATCAATATCACATTTGTATATCGTAATTTTTGGAGAAAAAAAGGCACTCTTCCGTGTGAACTTAAGTATAAATATACACATTTTCTGCCCCCATGTCTTGAATTTGTGATCATTCCAAATGTATTTTAATAGAATGAATCATGCAGTGATCAGGCAGAGCGCACTCTAAATGCACTAGACTTCACGTAATGCGTGCACTCTGTAGGTGTTTTGAATGTTTGTTTTTTTGCATCGTGAGAATATTGAGCAAAATAGCTCACTTGTCATGGTGTTATTTAACTTGTATTATTTTTTTACTTTATTGTATTTAATTGTAAAGTCATTAGGTCCATCAGACTGAAGATATTTGAGCGGTAATGAGACCAAAAATAATTAAGACCCATCGAATCCGAATTTAAGATATTTTAAGACTTTTTAAGGCCTTATATTAGGAAAACTTTATTTAAGACATTAAGACTTTTTAAGGACCTGCGGAAACCCTGCTAAACACAATTCACATCATACACATAAATAAATATACTTTTATATAATTACATTTTCACAATGATTTTCATGGTTATATGACATAGTTGCCATTAGGGCTGTCAAAAAAAATTTGAATTACGAATATTCGTCAAAAACAAAAATCAACATTGAATGGAAAAATGTTGCATTTGAATTTTAGGTGTGCGTTAAGGAGGCAGCCTTATCAGTGGCACACGAGATGCGATGGCGATGTAAGTGTCGTTGCATTTGAATGTTTTTGTTAGTCTATCCAGTTGAAGCCACTAGATGCAGTGCTGCAGCATTGTCCATTCAAAATATTGCAGGAAAAGAGAACATCAATGCGGGGAAGATCTTGTTTCCGTCAAAACTGAAACCAAGCACAGAATGCATATTTATCGCATTTTCTAGAGGGACATCTATCACGTTGCACTCGCGTCTCGCACAAGAGAGCCGCATGTTTAGAAAGCCATGTAAAATTAATGCAAGTTTAACTTTTAAAAAAACATGTCTCGAGACTTTATGGTGGGTTTTTTTCCCCATCCCACTGCATTTCACGTTAAAAAAAAAAAAAAAAAAAAGTACTGTGTGATTGGCTTTGGGCGCTTTGTATTAAACTATGCATACATACACGATAGACATGTGCCGGTATTCGGTAATGCGATATATCCCGATAATGAATATGCACGATATTTTTATATCTTCAAAATACAAAGAATAATTATTTATTACAAATTATTCAGATTTTTAAATGCATTTTAAGAACACTTTTCCCCATCAACTGGTCACGATGCACAACACCGCTGTATGCTGAGTCACAGACACTTGTGCACTTGATATAAACAAGCACAGATGAGAAGCGCATGGCGGAGCGCGAGAGAGATGCTCTGGATAAATGGCACATTCACTCGCTGACAGCAGATGGCGCTGAACAGCAGAAATGCAGCCTTTACCATGGAAACAATCAGCTGGCTACTTTCGGTTTCTGAAAGGTGTTTAAATTACTTAGTCATTCAGATTTGTGTATTCGCTATGGTGTTCATCACAGCGCCAAATACTTAAAGACTTAATACACTATTTATTTTCAAAAACATTTTTACATTATATATTGTTTGAACATTTTTTGATTCTTTATTGTTCGGTCACACTTTATATTAGAGCTTCATTAGTTAACATTAGTTAATTAATCAGTAAACAAACAGTTGATGAAAAATTATTCTAAACATTCGTTAATCTTAGGTAATGCCAATATTTAATAGCACGTTGTTAAAATCAAAAGTTGCAACTTTTTTTTTTAATGAGCTAACATGAACGAAGAGTTGTATTTTTTAACAAAGATTAATAACTTCTGTAGCAAATGTATCTATTGCTCATTGTGAATGTTAATACATTAAGGTTAACTAATGAGGTCTTATTGTAAAGTGATACCTATTGGTCCTTACAATTCTTTTGCACTTTAATCTGTGTAAAATTTTTAACTTTATACATTTTTTTGTATATTGCTTTATTGTATTTAAATGTTCAGTTATTTTTGTGATAAGAAAAAAGGTATTAAACCTGTTATACTACAACAACACGTTTTTGCAACTAAATTTCAATATCGTGATAATGCCTTATACCGTGATACAAGCATTAGCAATTAATCGCACCATTAAAATTTGATATCGGCATATCCCTAATACATGATGCTGTTTTGTTTATAGTTGTTTAAGCAACTTTGAATATAATTGGTTTATAAACATTACTTTAATCATGCACTTTTTTCACAGATAGACGTTGTTTTATTGCTTTGAATAAACGTGCATTAGTAATATTTTGCTCGATGCGCCCTTTTGTGGCCTCAGAAGAGAAGCCAAAAGCCTTTTTTTTCACCCTAACTGAAATTATACCTCTTAAATTTGAATATCGATAATATTTAAGTGCAAAGTTCAAATGTAGTTTTTCAGCCATTTTGACAGCCCTGATTGCCAGCCATTGTTTCAATATACAAGCTCTCACCTGTGACCTGATCCACGAGGATCCTGGAGGTGATGATGCGGCCGTACTGAGAGAAGAGCTGCTCCAGCTCTTTCTGGGTCATGGTTTTAGGAAGACCGCTCACGTACAGGTTAGCGTCACGAATGGAGGCCGAACTCGGTCGAGCAAATGACACCTACTCACAAACACAAACTTAGCGCACGTCAACACACATGAGCGGTATCTCTGACAGCAGCCTCACTTCAGATAGACCTTACCTTGATTGTTTTAGTCTGCAGTCGGAGACCATTTAAAGTGTTGATGGCTTTCTCTGCATCTTTGGGCTCTACATAGTTCACAAAGCCATAACCCAGACTCTGACCTAAACACACAAACACTCAAGTGAGGATTTATGAGCACTGCAGTGCATTATGGATCTGACCATCACAGTATCTAACACACAGTTGGTATGCTGTGATGTAAACACAGATCTGTGAGTTGAGGTGAGCTGCTGATGGTGACGTGTATAAAACCTCCATAAGAGAAGCATCAGGGTTACTGCAGACTCAAGTATTTTTAGCAAATGATTCAACAGATCTAACTAATTTGTTCAGAGCTTTTTCTGCAGGTGGACAAATTAGTCTAAAATTATAAAGGGAACAGAAATGATTCACTCAAGATTTATTTAAAAACCGTTGATTAATGATTGACCAATATATTGGCCGATATGTGGCATTTATGCGGATATTTTGCAGATAAGATTTTCTGTTAGGATCATAAGTGTCAAAAGTGGGCCTTTTTTGACACTACTGAAAACTCAAGTTGCATTTTTTCATTTACTGTAACTTGTCAAATTTTTATTAAGCATTAAACAATCTTTTGAAATCTTTCAAAGAATCTTTTGCTTATACAGCTGTTAAGATTCTCTGAAGTGTGCATTTGTAGACCGTCTAAAAAAACAAGTACTTTGTGCATGATCCGTCCGTGCAAATCCAGTTTGCCCCTATTTTTTTATATTTACTGAGTACTGTGTATAAAGTTACCATTACCTGTTTTTTATTTGAGAAAATACAATGCAGTGCACAGAGACATGTCCACTTTAGTCATGTTTTTAACAATTTCTTCATTTGTGAAATGCAATAACAGCATTACAGAATCAAGAAGTTGCTATCTGAAATATAATTTAGATTTGAATTTCGGGGTGGGCGATATACCAGTAGACACAGTTAACTGGTAGAAATTTGTCAACCAGTAGAAATTTTTTCTATCACGCTCATGTGATGTTGCTGTGCTGCGTCTTCATGAAAACGTATCGTTTGTGTGCATTTTTAAGCATTGTGGTTTAAAAACAAACGTAATCAGCAGCAAAAGAGAACTCCGAGCACTGTCAGATAGGCGCGCGCACATGAAGACGCTGCTCATAGAGCAGCTATGAAGTTTACTGAAGCAAACAATGCGGGCAGCTCTTAAAGTGACCGCAGTCTAATATTCCTGCTGTCTGTTATTCATGTTAATCAAACCACAAAAGAGAGAATCTCTCACTGCTCTTGACTAAATCACTTTTTAGTCCTATTGCTTGTAATTAGATTCTTATTCTTATTTAATCACTGACCATTTACTTTTCTGTCAGCTTGTTTTTTTTTTTTTTTAGGCTAGTATTAATTTTGTGATATTGACACTCGTGACAATTATAAAATTTCAGCGATATCAAAAAGAAAGACCTTATTTAAGGGAAAGTAACCATATTGTGATATATATCATAACTATATTGCGATATATATAGTTACCGTGAAATAAAATTACTCATTGTCTACCCCTAACGATATTTTCGATTTTTCCCCTTTTGATTCATTTTCAAATAATGTATTTCTAATTCTGCTAATTGCAGCATTTATTTATTTTTTACTATCCTTCAGTTTAATAGTGTGATATTATCAGATTTAAATACCAGCCATTGGCCACTATGTTTTTGAATATCATCAATATCAATCAATCATAAAAGCCCTATTGGTCAAAAATTATTAGAGACAGCCATGAATACCAGTGATTTTGTCCCGCACAAGTTTGCAGGACTCAATCTCTCCGATGCTGCCGAACAGACTCTTGAGCTCCTCCTGCGTCATGTTCTGTGGCAGGTAGTTCACGATCAGGTTGGTTTTACTGTCCTCAGTACCGTTGGGCATCTCCACAGGTGACGAGCAGTTGTTAGAGACGCTGTTGGGACCGTTGTTGGAGGTACAGCTCGGCCCATTGGACAGCTGCGTCTCCATGGCAGCGATCACCTGCTATAGATGCAAACACACAGTAAGTGAAAAAACAGGAACACTTCAGATTATTTAATGTAGAATATAATCATGTGTGACCCCTGGACCACAAAACCAGTCATAAGGGTACATTTTTGAAAGCTAAATAAATAAGCTTTCCATTGATGTATGGTTTTGTTAGGATAGGACAATATTTGGCTGAGATACAACTATTTGAAAATCTGGAATCTGAGGGTGCAAAAAAATCTAAATATTGAGAAAATCGACTTTAAAGTTGTCCAAATGAAGTCCTTAGCAATGCATATTACTAATCAGAAATTAAGTTTTGATATATTTACGGTAGGAAATTTACAAAATATCTTAATGGATCATGATCTTTATATCCTAATGATTTTTGGCATAAAAGAAAAATGGATAATTTTGACCCATACAATGTATTTTTGGCTATTGCTACAAATATACCCAAAAGTATGTCGCCATCTCTTGTGCTCCAGGGTCACATATATTAGTAATAATCTGTTCACAGTCTGTTTGTTTTAAATACATGTTTTGATTTTAGCATATCAGTTACAAAATCTCTATTCTGCTTGCACATGAAAGCAATTCTCTCCGCTAATTCCACAAATTATACAAAGAGAATTATGATGTGGTACATTAGGGAAAGGTGAATTTAAATCAAATTATTTGATTCCTAAACGATTCATTTATATAAAAAAAAAAAAAAAAAAAAAAAAGTAAATCCCTAAAAAGAGTGATTTGTGCACAAATCCAACTACACTGTTTCCTCAGTGTGTTTTTGATTCACTAAACAGAATCCGTTCATAAGAGTAATTTGCATTACAGGTCTGAAATGGACACCGAGCTGATCGCAGTCAGTGCTATGTTTATACCAGCTGTGCCGGTTTCAGAAGTGGCTCTCCGCACTGCTTCGCTTCAGATACATGCCTACATCTCCCTTCTATTGAAAATAACAGCTAGTGCAGTGGCTACGGCATACGTAAACCTACCAACATCCGTCACCATGAATTATCAGGAGAGGGGGAAAAAAAAATAGTTTGTCGCATAATGTTAATGGTTAATGGAAACACTGCCATTTCGCAATCGTTTTTTAAAAATTGCCATTTATAAAATATCACAAGTTTTGCGCAACTCTGTAATGGAAGCACATCTTGTGTCAGTAAAGATTACGGTGACTTTTACCTTCTATTCCATCATTTCCGGTTTAAAAGTAGTTTCACAAGTTTTTTCAAGCATTCATTTAAAAAATTGTTCAGTGCGTTCAATGTGGCACACAGACCGACAAGGAGACAGTTGTGTGTAAATCGAGTGGCATGTGGCACTGTTGGTTATAGCATTTACTTCCTTTTAATTCATGTTTTTATTTTCAATTAGTTTATTCTTGCAAACACCTTAATAGGATTACAGAATCAAGTACAGAGATATATATATATATACAAATCTGTTTATTATACTGATTCTTGGTTTTACAGGAAATACTAATATTAATACTTTAAATCGTTTTAGCAGGCTCCTCTAGGGCTGTGCAATAAAGGCAAAAAATTATATCAATATTTTCTGAATTTTGTCGATATGATAATCCGACGATATTTTGCTGAGCATGTTATTGTGCTGGTACTTTGGCAAGTGTAGGGCTGCCGTGGACAGCTTTTGATGTTCTTCATACTCTGTGCGGTGATTAGTTTGCGGGAGTAACAGAAATGAACTTTTCCAGTAACTTGAAATTGAATTTTACCTTTTATGGCCATTTTTCCCTACTTTTTCTAACCTAATTAAATGCATCATATTGTTTGTGTCAAATTCAAATTTTATCAAATTCAAATTTTAAGACACTATAGGGCCGTAACAAATTAAATCAGAATCAACAATTTGTGCTTGCAATGCAGAGGTGGCACAGAGAAGTGACTTATATCAGGGATCTTCAAAATTTTAGACCACAGACCGGTTACATTTTGAAAATATTTTCGTGGATTGGCTGGTTTCTATTGGTATATATCGGTATACATTGTGGTTTTTGAATCACGGATCGCATGACTTTTCAGATAAGCAAGAACAAAAAATATTTAAAGCGAATATTGAGAGAATGAGAACGCTGAGAAGGGTCTTTTTGGCAATTGTATGTGTATGTAAGGAGACGTGAAAGGAATCAACTGTATTCTGAATTGAATGAATTATCAACTAAGATGTTATGATAGTTTTTGGTTCAGTGTATAATCAAACTAATGAAACCTTAACTTTGAAATCAGTATGATTAAACTTTTTGCCTTTTACAAAAAAAAATTGATTTAAAATGCAACAAATCTCAAATTACAATTGAAATAGTTAATGTAACTTATTGATTTACCTCTGAAAAAATGTTGATAAAATAGCAAAAAAAAAATATTTACAACTAGATGCAAGCAAAATCTTAATAGGTCAATATAACCCTTCTAATTAAATAATTATTACTGTTTCGGTAGTAACAAATTTGAGGAGAGGACAAATATTCCAAAACTTTCTGAAAATACAATACAAGAATTAACTGCACAATTACTAGAAATGTGTACCTTGAATATTATACAATTTGCATACATTAAAATTTTTGGTAAAATAATTTTCCAACTCTGATTTTGGACCAATTCTGTAGAATGGCCCATACACATTTTTCCCAGAATGTTCTAGCATTGCAAACTTGCCATCGCAACCTCTTCATCATCAAACTAAATGAGACAACTAAACATACAAAAGGTCTTTGGTTACTCCATTTAACTCCGTTAATAAAATATGTAGTTTTTGCCAGTTAGTGTGCATCGCCATGGCATTTCTTTCAAACACATTTTTGCTTATGTGAAGGATGCGGTTTTAAAAGTAGATATTGGGACATAAAAGAAGTACAAATATATAATAATATATATATAAAATCGCGTTGCTGAGTACTGCTAGCGTTCAGTTCATTTTACCCTAACTGGGCAACTCAAGCGAGCGGTCAAGCACTATTTCCAAATTAAAAACAGAATTTTATCACCAAGTTTCTGCCATTTTACAAAATATACCGTTAAGGAGGTCTAGAAAATGAAACTCGATAATTTTTTTTTTATCTCAAATTTTAACGTCACTTGCAGTGTTTAAACAGAGGCGTCACATCAATACATTCCTGGTTTTGTCACGGCTTTTCTGAAACAATATATTTTTGCTGCAGTGCCACCCAGTGGATATAATTGCCATTACACACTATTCAGTGAGGGGTATAAGGACAAAGGGCCAAAAATATGGTTTGGCGAGTTTTAATTTCAGTAATTTGATCACAAAATAAATGTCAACCGTGCTTTTACAATGCACGTTAAAGGGTTAAATAATAGTTTAGCAACCAAATGTTACATGCAACGTTTCATTCATGGAAACGATTCCGAAAGAGAGGTATGCAAGTAGAGCTGCATGATTATGACAAAAATCATAATTGTCGATTATTCCCTTGAAATTGTAATTGAGATTATTAATTACGATTATCACAATTTACATTGAATGATGTTTATACCATTGTTTGATGCAACTGCAGGCCATATTTTATATGAAAATAAACAAGCTGAAAACACTAACTGAAAAACCTTTAGTGCTTTTCTATAGCATTAAGCCTCAAATGTCAACTATACATCAGATTGGTTTCTTCTTTAAACGATAAAAAAAGTAAAAATATAAAAATTCAAACGGTGGAAAAACCCTTACGATAACATGTAGAAAGAAAAAAAAAAAAAGCATCTTAAGCACACGGAATAACAGAGGACTTTGAACGATTAATTTCCGCTTTGAACGATTACGTAATTGTGGCATCCATCATTGTAATCGCGATTAGAAATTTGATTAATTGTGCAGCCCTATATGCAAGCCTACCACAAGATTCAGTTTCAGTTTAGGTTTAAAGCTGCAGTCCGTAAGTTTTGCCTCTGTCGCCATCTCTGTTTGAAACCTGCAATTGCAGTTATTTGCAGAATTATCTTCTTTACGTGGGTTGTACACTGGCACAGCTCCTCAACGTGGATTAACCTAATCTAATGATCACCGCACTGGTGTGGATACTGTACTTCGGAATCACAGATTCTACGTCTTTTAAGTAAGACCCAAATAACAAATTTCCCCAGATTGTCAAATTAGTTTCCACTACAAAAGTGGCACAGAAGAACACAAAAGTGGCATGTAGGTAATTTTTCAGACATTTACAGAGGCTCATAGATGGCATGGATGTTTTAAATTCATAATGTTGTGAGATTAATAGTACTGTGTTCAAAATATCGATACGATGATGTATCGTCACAGAGATTTGACGATACGAGTATCGATACAGCTGGCCCTGTATCGATATTGTGGCACGTGTGCAGCAGTGGACCGCGCTTAATTTGTTTAAAATTTTACAACGTTTAAAATGGAGTAGAAAAGTGTGAGGTTTCTAAAAAAGAATGACTAGAGCATATATAGGCTACAACAAGGTTTAATCTGGCCGCAGAGGAACACAACTGGGTTGCCTGATATAAAGAGACGTAATCCCCAAAACAGAGCTTCACACTTGCGCAATACGGAAATATCTGCTAAGTGTGCTACTTATCTTTGTCAACCTGGCAACCCTGTGCACGAGCCCTCTATCCACTGTGGATAAACGCGGCGCACGCTTGCTTTCTGAAAACACTGGTTAGCAATCTCCACTTTAATATTCTATTCTCAGAAAATTGTAATTCATCGAGTGTTCATTTATATGAGAGAGAGAGAGCGAGAGAGACAGAGAGAGAGAGGCTGTGTATGTATGAATTACCACCGATTTGCCGTGTTTCTTTATTTACAGTAAATCTGTGGCTTTAATTCCTTTAGAAACAATGATGCTACCAGCTCCTTGTTGAGAAAGATAATGTAGCTCTTGAGCAATTAAGCTATTTAGTTGATAAAACTGCGGGGCAGCGCTAAAAAGTTTGTTCCTGAATGTCTGAGTGCGGCCGCAATGTGATCTGTGTGGGTGACTGAACTTAACATCAAACTGCTTCTGTGACGTGCATGTTCGGCTAGTGTCGCTTTGAACTCGTGCATCTTCGGAAGCAGAGCTGCGCGGAAAGTTACAAAAAAATGTCGTGCACAAAGCAACGCGAAACAACGTCATGCACACTCAAAGCAAACTTCTGCCAACACCGCATATTTGTCATATTTGCCGCGCACACCTAAGCGAACTTGCAGACGCCTAAAATCAGCCTTGAGCGTGTGTGCGTTAGATACATTGAAGACAGTGCGTTAGTTTAGAACTCTTCTAATTTTTTTTTTCAGGTAGAATAAGAATAATAAGTTACCAATCAAAAGAAATCTATGTTAACAAAATTAGTTTCCACTACAACGGTGGCACAGAAGAACACAAAAGTGGCATGTAGGTACATTTACAGACATTTACAGAGGCTCAGAGGTGGCATGGATTCATAAAACTCATAGCAATGTTGTGAGATTAAGGTTTTAAATATAAAATTTAGAACTATTGTTTGATTGAAATGATTTAAATAACTGAAATGATAATTTGTTTACTTTAGAGACTATTTGTGGAAAATGCCAGGAAACACTATCAAACGGGAAAGGGAAAAAAATAAACTGTTCTACTGTCAGATCAGCATCACAGCCTAAAATTAATCACACACTTCACCCTACAAACACAAATGACTCATCTGAACACTTATTCTGATGGATGCTTTGGTTGTGATGGCACTTTTGGCCTGATATTTGCTCAGTTGACAGTTGAACAAATTCATTTCAACGCAGTTGTCCAACAATACCCAAAATCAGCACAGCTCTAGGATGTGTGACACGGTAACACTGGACTGAAAGTGAAGAAAGAAGAAAGTCCCACAAACCCCAGTCCACGGCTCGGCTGCCCACGAGCCACTTCTCAGAAGAGAAGCCACATCACACAGCCTGACTGCCATGACGGCTGGAGAGGACGTCTGCAAACAAGAGCACATCAGAGTCAGTCACTAGGCGTGTTTCCATTACCCTTCAAATTGCACAAATTGAAATTGCGAATTGAAAATACGCCTAATGGAAACGCGTCAATTTCGCAAAAACGGCCATATATCGCAAAAAAGTTTTTACGCTCGCATGGTGGTTTTTCAGGCAATGCGAAAAAGGATTAATTCGCAAAACTGCAATGGAAACGGCTTTTTCGCATTTACAGGTCACATGGCGTATGTAAAAAGTCATATGATCATTCTTCAACGTACTATAACCTCCAAGGAACACGTCATAAGTGGCCGCGCTCCAGTATAAGGGGCTTTCCCTACTATTAATACTTAGACGATTTACACTGCACACGTCTGCGGTGCAGTGTGGCTCTGATACGGTCACTGAAGCTGATTACGGCCACTCAAAGCTTGTGTTTATGTTTTTATACAGTCTATGGTTTATTCCAGCCGCGCCACGCACGTTTCTGAAGCGGCTCTCTGTGCTGCTTCTGTAAAGATACACGCATAAGCCTCCTTTGAATAAATATAGCCAAAATCCGTCAAAATCCAACCAAAATCCGTTGCCATGACTTATCGCGAGAGGCAAAAGGTCATTTTGCAATACTTTTTTTATCGACAATCAGAAAATATTGCCAAAGTTTTGCGCAAATCTCTAATGGAAACGCGCCTACTTACACACGCACACTGCTCCACCATCAGCTCCCTAATGTTTTAGCACAAAAATGTTTAGCAATATTAAAGAGATCATTGGATGCCCATTTTCCACAAGTTGATATGATTCTTTAGGGTCTTAATGAAAAGTCTAACATACTTTGGTTAAAATTTCTCAATGGTAGTGTAAAAACACCCTTTTTACCCTGTCAAAAACAGCTCTGCACACAGCATCCCATTTCAGTGCATGTCTCTTTAAATGCTAATGAGCTCTGCTGACCCCGCCCCTCTCTTTAGGTGGGGTGACAAGCTGTTCTCTGAGAGACTAAATTTTAGCCGCATTAAATCGCAGAACTTGCTAACTACCACATTATTAGGAAAGGCGATTTGCAAAGATTCATAAAAACCCCTTATACTGACTTACTAAATTTTAGCCGCATTAATCGCGGAACTTGCTAACTACCACATTATTAGGAAAGGCGATTTGCAAAGATTCATAAAAACCCCTTATACGGACTTCTTCTGGAGGTGAAGCTGGATCACGAATGATTCGCGCGAACAGACGCATTTAAGCAGATCGGGGGCGCATTCCCTTCAAAAACAAAGGTAATCCACTGCTTCTTTAGTGGCTCAGATGTCGGGAGTAAATGACGACTGCTATGTTCATTATTACATCCAACAACAGAACACCTCAATCGCTTTGGAGCCATTCTTGTCTACATCTGCTCCAGCGGTGAAACAATGGCAGCCTGATGACAGCTTACTCAGGACAGGTCTAAGGTAAAATGCTAGTGTCAATCAACAATCGTGGGAGGGGCCTGGGTCTGTGTGCATCACGGCCAAGAAATTCTGAGAACAGCTTGATTTGAGAAAGGGGATATTATTTATTGGGATTAAAGAGGTCATATGATGCAATATCAAGTTTTCCTTTCTCTTTGGAGTGTTACAAGCTGTTCGTGAATAGATAAGATCCCTAAAGTTGCAAAGACTAAAGTCTCAAACCCAAAGAGATATTCTTTATAAAAGTTAAGACTCGTCCACATCCTCCTAAAACGCCTCGTTTAAACACGCCCCCACATGTCTACATGACGGTGTGGGAAGATTTGCATAGCGGTTCCAAATGTTCACACACAGAAAGGCGTCGTATCTTTGATTCTTGCTGTAGTATTGTTGCCGCCACCGCCGCCATGTCATGGATAGAGGTACTCCGATTGATCGGCTACCGATCACTATCGGCCGATAATCACGTTGGGATGATTGATCGGCGGTCTCTAAAAAGGCCAATCTCAAAAAACGATCTCAAGCTGACACGTCTGCTGTGAGAAGTTTGGCACTACATGCAGCGGCACAGTCTCAGTCTCTGCCCGGCACGGGTGAAATAATTATAATGCTGAAGATGAGGTACTCTCTCAAAATACGCAAATGGCTTCAAATCACCACATCGCATCTGTCTATAAGCGAGCTGCACGGTGCACAATTGACACAGGAATTGTCACTTGCACAATCGAGGCAGTGTCACATCATCACTAAAGTTTATAAATTGCATTACTTTTTCATTTTTGCCAGTGTTTAACCATTCAGCGCTCACGCGCTCTCATGGAGACCATGCGCTCATGCCCACTCGCAGCACATACAGTGGGTACGGAAAGTATTCAGACCCCCTTAAATTTTTCACTTTGTTATATTGCAGCCATTTGCTAAAATCATTTAAGTTAATTTTTTT